CGCGTATCATACGCGAATTAACTAACTAGACTAGTAACTTCTTATTCTATATTCCCTTCATTCTACATTTAAAAGTCATATTTTACTTTTAAATTAGGGTTAAAATCATAAAATTGTGGCTTTCAAAATTTTGATCATAAAATGTAACATGTTTTAAAAAATTCCTACACTTTTAAAAAGTGATTACATTGTCCAATATCCGTATCCGACCCCTTAATCGAATTATGAAATGATAAATTTAACTTTATTATTTAATGTTAAATTAAAACTAAAAATTATTTTAAAATTACAAAAATTACGTTTGAAAGAAAGAGAGGGGTAAGAGTTTGAGGGATAGGGAGAAGGGGTGACGAAGAAAATTAAAGGGTATTTTTGTAAATTTAAAAAATAATTTTTAATTTAATAATAAATAGTAAGGTTAAATTTGTCATTTCATAACCTAGTTAACTGGTCGGATATTGATATTGAGGGCAATGTGATAACTTTTTAAATGTGTAGAAATTTTCTTAAACATGTTGTGATTTTATGGTCAAAATTTAAAGGTAATAGAGATTTTATTATTTTAACTCCTTAAATTATTATTATCTCTGGAAAAGAGCCAAAAAAAAAAAAAAGAAAAAAAATGAAAGAAAGAAAGGGTAATGATTATCTCCTCTTTTGTTAGCTCCTCATTCCTCAAACGGTCAAACCCCTGGAAAGGTCTTCTAAGGTTTTTTTTTTTCTAAATTTAAATTTCCACAAAGACTTTAAAAATACGGTCTTAGAGGACAAAAGAGGGTCAGAGTCATGTCATGGACCAACCCAAGCCCAACATACTTGCTTGAGCCGCCGAGTCGCGTGGTTTTACTCCTTCTAGAAACATAGTTGATGAACATGGGATTCAAAGGTCACTAAATCAACCAAAATAATAATAATAATAATAATTTTCAAATTGAGAGATCAAGGATTGTGGTTCTTATTGATTTGTTAGACATTAATGGATTTGATGCCAATTGGATCAAAGGGTTAATCCGATCAGAATAACTATTTCTTTTGATTTAATTTGATTAGATTAATTTATAAAATTAATCCATAACATGGTTATTAATTAAATATCTTATCCAATAAAAAGAAGTTAAAACAGAAGACAGATGAAACAATGTTTTTGTTTTTTTTCAAAGTTCAGGCGAGACACTAATCCATTATATTGTTAAGATAACTAAAAAAATAACATTTTTTAAAACAAAGAAGCCTTCTACTCTTTATTGAAGGAAAAACATTAAAGAAAAAACATAAAGTGAGGAGATAACAAGATGAGAAAACAATGATAAAAATATTTTGATAATATGTAAAATTTATATATTATAGTATTAGGTAATACTATATATTTAACATATTAATAATATATTTTGTAAGATTGGATTGATCAAATTCATATCTAATTTTTTTAGTTATGTGATTATTTAATTATGATAATTAATGAATTATGAAAAAAAAAATTAATTATTCTTGAGTAGAATTGAATTGGGATCAAAATCCAACCTAGTCCTGGGACAATTCTGCCAATAGTTTTTCTCACATATGTATGCATGGTTTCCAGTTAAATAATTTAGGATTTTTAGCCAACAAAATATGAAAGTGATAGACATACACAGTAAGGATTTAGTGAAGAAAGTTCCATATAGGCCGGAGTATAATTTAAGTTCATATATATATATATATATATATATATATATATATCCACCCATCTTTTTCTTAATAATTAAGCGAGGTCTGAATTGGTGGTGCTGAGAGATGCCCCTGCATATGAATTTGGAGAGAGACGAGGTTGGCTTTAAACATATAAAATGGTGAACGTTATTTTGTGCGGTTAGGAAGCAAAAATAAAATATAAAAAAAATACTTGGATCGTTGTATAGGAGGATGAATGGTTCAATACAATTAAGACACATATTTAAATTTAATTTTTTTTAATAATAATTATTATTCAACTTCTTACTAGTTAAACCCAAATCAATTTTGTTTCTTTTTCTATTTAAAATTTTTAAAATCCCTTAAACTCAAACCCATTTTATTTAAAAAAAAATCAACCCTTAGCCCTATTAATTGAAGTGCTGCAAACTTGGGAGGGATGTAAAATATAGATCTTAATTCTGACAAAAAAAAAAAAAAAAAAAGAAAAAAAAGAAAAAGAAAAAAAAAGTGATATTTTTTAAAATTTTAAATATTTATCTAAATTATATTGAGTCCAATCAATTGCAATTATAAACATTTTATCATTAATATATATATATATATATATCATGAGATAAAATTTTAAATATTTATTTAAATTATATTGTGTCACGTCAACTAAAATTATAAACTTCTTATCATTTGGGCAGACCCAAGTATTTTCTATATATATATATATATATCACGAGATTAAACTAATCCGGACGTAGTAATGGCGTTAGTTGGGAAATTTGTCTTCTCTACAAAAAGGTTGATTTGACGTAGAGAAGGAGGAATGAGTCAAAGATGAAGTTGAAAAAGGTAGGTGGTGGGGTTTGAGAGGAAAACGACACCCTTCCTTCCTTTTTCTTTTTCTCCTTGGGGACCAAACACACTGGCGGCATTCCTTGCGTCAATCAATATATACTGTATTTATGTATATTCTTTTTTTATCTCAAATATTTATATATACTTACCTATAGTATCATACATGTTAATTTGAATACTGTATTACTGTTACCCCATTTTTAAGGAAAAGGAAAACTCTTAATCATATGGTAATTTCGCAATATTTAATCATTGAAAAATGATTTTAAGGTTATTTGACAGAAAAGTTTTAATCAGTAATGTATATAAAATATAAATCACTTCCTTGTGCAGGGCAAACATGAGTCCATGACCCATCAAAATTGATAGATCAAAATTCACAATAAAACTTCGATTAAATATCACTACATAATATTGTTAATGAACATAGATTTTTGTATATATATATATATATATATAAAGGATAAAGTACAAAAACACACCTTTGAAGTTTGAGGAAAGACTTTGCGAAGGAAAGTTAGTCAATTTTTAAACAATGACGTTCCTTCAAATTTAAAAAATAAACAAAAAGACCTGAAAATAGTAAATTAACCTTATTACCCTTTAACATAAAATTGACATTTTAATTGACTTAAATACCCTTGAAGTAAACACAAACCCAAACCCATCTCAAACTCTAACTTGAACGCCTGTGTAAAGTACCTCTCTTCCCTTTTCTCTCTGTATCGCCGTTCAAGTCTTATGTTTCGAAATCCAACGGCGATTCGAAGCCCTACGATCTCGGAGCTGATATGGATTACATCTTCATTGGTTTTTTTCGCACCATCGGAATCGTGGCTGTTCGTCACTGGATAGTTTGATCATCGTCACCGTCGTCCGGTTCGTTTCTCTTCGCCGTCGCTGGAATTGGAAATGGAAGGTCACAGATTGTGTGTGTGTGTGTGTTAGATAGACAAAACAAAAATGGCAGGTTAAAGATGTTAAAAGGAGAGTTTAATGGGGGGGGGGGGGGGGGGGGGGTGTGTGGCAGGTTAAAGATGTTAAAAGGGGAGTTTACTGGGTCTTGCATTTCACACAGGGCTTTTGCCTCTGACGATTTGGGGATTTCATGGTTGTGGTGATGTTGATGATTTAGGGTTTCGGTGATTATGAGAGGTGAGTTGCTGCGGTGAAAGGGTGGAGATGGTTGTTTTATATGGTGGGTAAGAAGTAGAGGTGCTGATTGTGGGTGGTAGTGGTGAAGGGGTGGAGATTGTTGTTTTGTACGGTGGGTGAGAAGTGGTGGAGGTGCCGATTTTGGGTGGTGGTAGGAAGTTAGAGAGAGATGAGAGGACTGGTGGTGGCGGCGGCCATGGCGGTCATGGTGGTGGTAGGTGGCTTCAGATTCAATCTCAGCGACGGTGGCTGGTTTGAGTCTGAGTCAGCCTTCTCGGTAGGGAGGAGAATTGTAGGCTTGGTGTTAGATTCCGGTCGATAATTTAATAGATCGTTGTCGATGACGCCTAACGTAATACTAGCGGTATAGAAAGCGAAGAGTAAGAAAATAACGGATCTATTGTCCAAGGTCGAGTTTGCCCGAACCAAGGCCGAGTTCGGCGAGGTCGAGGAGGTGGCGGTGGCAAGAGCTCCGGCAAGGTCGAGGTTGGGGGTGGTAGTTACTGTGGTTGTTTGTGTATATATATATTTGGTCATTTAAATATTTTGATATTTTATAATTAAAATAAATAAAATAGTAAAGGATAAAGTGAACTTTTCACATGTTTTAAGGCTCTGTTTGAATGACAAATATCACAATGGGGTGTGGCTGTCCAAAAATAAGCCAACTTTCCTTGACATGTCATTTCCCCAAACCTCAAGTGTCTTTGTACTTTGCCATATATATATATATATATATAGATTTTTCTCCAATCTTGATAGTAACTAATAACCATACTAAGCAAACAAATCTCCAAATCACTTACTTATATTTGACATTTTATGAATAATATAAAATTAAGTTATAATTCTTTTAAATGATTCTCACTTTACATTGTGTGGTTTAGATTTTGTGACTGTTACAATCCGCCTTAATATGACTTGGATAAGACACTAATTACCTATGAGTTAAGAACAAATTTATGGTTGAGGAAGCTAATAAATGAGAACACATGCATGAGTTAAGGGTAGTAGAATGGGCAAGTGCAATGAATTTGTTGTTGAATTTAGGCACGATTGAAACATCTTTGTCCTCCTCTATCCGAATTGAATGGAATGGCGTGTCCTTTTCAACAAGAAGCTCATGCATAGCATTAATGGTGTGGCGTTGGAGTGAACTTTTTAATTCAAAACTACGGTGTAGTGGAGTGGATCTCATTTAATTCCATATATATTTTTGGTTCACATGCCAATTCCTTTTCCTTTCTCGTATTTGTCCTCCAAATACTACTATATTTGACTACAATAACAATGTTTTTAAGCATATAAAAAGATCGAGCACGTGGTTTCAGGAGGAATGCCTCGTCTTATTTAATAATCATTGTCCATGTATTTAACAAATATTTATGAGAATATAATTAAAATTATTACATAAAGAAATTAAATAACTAGAAAGGGTAAGAACCTCTATAAATTCTCTAAATTTATCAACACCTTCCTCTTTCTAACCTTCAATCAATTTCATCTCTTAAACTCACCACCCACCAAACAGTTGTGGTATATTTACATCTTTGCCCAAGAGAAATGAGCAAATCCATCTCTTTCAACACTAAGTAGTAACCAACAAACTACTCATACTCCATCAACCATTCATTACTGTGATTTTACTTGGATCTCCACTTCTGCAGCTATCCGAATCTCTTTCGAGTTCGAGTCGGATCAACAACATAGTTTGGTCAGATTCGGAGGGTAGGCGTGCCTTGAGCTGGTGGAAGCTCGGCACCAACACCTTATCAGCCCACTCTTCCAACTCTGTTCTACCAAGCCATACCACGCCTAAAATCTTCTCAAGAGCCTCGTCTTCAACTTGTATTGACAGCTTCTCATCAATCACCACCGAGGAAAACTTCTTTGTGATTGCACTCCTAATCTCACGGCGAATGGGCCCGATTTCCACAGGCTTGAAGATTATGGCATCATCTAAATAATTGACCAGATCATGAGGAACCGATGCTATGTTGTCAAGGCCATGATGGTCATCTTCTTCATGATCGATGGTGAGATCACTTGAACTGTGAGACCCATCGGTAGTCCTATTATCCTGATCAGTACTGTCAGCAACTTCATTAAGGTCAAATGCTATGTTGGAACTCATTTCTTTCCTAGGCTTTGTGGGCCTATCCTCATCCTCGTGTAGCCAGTTGGCTCGGCGCTTTACACTCTTTTCACCAATGGATAGCCTCAATTGCCAGCACCCACTTGCAATAGAGGCAAGCCTTTTTTCATCAACCAAATGTGCATTCAGTGAGTTTTTGAAATCATCTGGAAATGAATTTGCTGTGAGTATGAATATAACATTCCTAAGACTCATCTCACGACCATGAGAATCAACAAGACGACCCCTATCCATTGCCCGTTTTATACTCCCACGAACCACCATATCCATTTCATCAATGTCCTCCAGCATAATTACTGAGAATGGGTTCTGACGAACTGCCTCAACAATGCGATCAAGTGTTGTCTTACCACGGATATTCAAATCTGTTTCCTCATCATCACGCCGTGACCCAAGACATATCATTATTGGATTGGTCCCGCACAGCTGCTCTGCAAGAACTGATGCCATCTTCTTCTTGCCCATCCTGTCAGGGCCTGCAAATAATAGCCAAGTGTCACCCTTTGATTCAGCTCCCCTCCGTTTTCCATTGCCTAATTTGCATCGACTTACAGCTGTAGCCACTGCAGAAGCTGCTTCCTGCTGCCACCACACCTTCTCCTTTAGATTCTTAAGGAGCTTCTTAAATGAGTCCACATCTAATGTATTAGCGAATTTCTCCCTCTGCAATTCATGGAACTTGACCTGTGATTCAGAAGAGATGCAGCCCAAGAAGTCTTTTACATGCTCTTTTTGGGTATTATCGGGGTGGGTTTCCGTGATCTTTGTCTGCCCAAGAACAAGGTCTGTCCTTACAGGACTTCTAGGAGGGCTACCAGAACGCTGCAAAGGTTGGCTGGCCACTGGATTCGCGTTCAATTGCAGACTTTCTCCATTTTTTCTGGTTTGTTGTAACATCGGTTGAAAAGGTTGGCGCACAAGCAGGTTTGGATTGTACAACCCTGCCATTGAGAGAGCTGTAGGAGCGGATGTCTCAGAACTAAGATTGTGATGAAAATTAGGGTGACAACGCAAGCACGTATCATTCCATTTCTTTACTAGTTCTTGACTTTTCTGCTTGAAGATCACTTCCCGATCCCTGGCCTGTAAAACCCACAGATTGAATTCATCCACTCAAATATAAAATGAATTTTTATGAGTATTTAATTTAATTGACTTGAACATACCTGCCACGGAATATTCATTGTTTTAACATCATTATTATGGACTCTGGCATTTTGCAACCACAGTGGCAGCAGTGGCCGAGCTGCTTCTGATTTAACTTCAGAAGAGGATTTCTCACACTCCATCGCTACTAGTTTTGCTAGCTCTTGTTCATAGTTCTCATTACACTGTGGGCAACAGCTCATTCTTCGAGCTGGATCCAAGTTCTCAGAGGCACGTCTTGTTAGAGCAGTTGGGAAACTCTTCAACAGACTTTGAGGCTCAGCTAAGCTGCTAAGAATTCCATTGGTTGCCACCCTAAAAAAAATGAAATCCAACAGACAAACTAAAAGTGAACGGATGGCTCCAAAAAATGGAGGAAAAAAAGGTGCCAACTACATTTGTAAGGCTTAGGCTTAGATTGAGCAGGTTTCTGGAGTTCTTTGAAGTCCCCTCTAAGGAGAGGAAACAATTTACAAGAATAAGATGAAACAAGAGAAACAGGTTCATCTAGATCAAGGCAGAATATTAATTATAAACAAGGATCCATTTTTTAGCAAGGTATGAAATATATACAACAAAAAAGAAGTCCAAGCCTCAAAGAAAACATAAGGAGATTCTATATCCTAGTAAAAATGTTTGGCCTGCACAAAATATAAAGAAATTTCAGATCCCATTGGATATGGCATGTGTAATTCAATGTTCAAAAACTTCTAAATCAAGCTAGTTATGAGAAAGATTCACCCCTAATTACAGCATATTCCTGTTCAACTATTATTTTCAAGAGAAAAAAACACACAAGAAACCAGAGAATATATGTTTTTTTTTTTTTTTTCAACAAGTAACCAGAGAATATGAGTTCTATAAACATCATTCAGAAGTTGGACTCCATGAAAGATATAATTGATAAAAGATTGTCACTCAAACAATCTAGCAAAAGCAACTGCCATTAATGTATGAGGTATAAATTTGAAAGGGTGATTACCATTTCAATCATCAATAAGTGAAGCTAATAATTAAGAACAAAACATCAGAATGGCGTAATTTAATGGGAGATGAAAAAGTAGACCTTGGAAACATCCCCTGAAGAGGTGATCTTGAAGCAATTGGCACCGCCTGTAGATCCCAATCTTTTTCCATTGAAGGGTGATAAACCTGGCACCTCAAATAAGTCTCACATGTAGCAGTTCCAATCAACCAAAGCAAACGGCTGCTACCCTCTCTAAAATTTGCCAATAGCTTCCTCATCTCTGTCACAGCCATGCGCTCTGACTCGGAAACAACCTGTTGCGGACCTGACCCCGGAACTCCAAAACTCACAGGTTGCTCAACAAGCCATTTCAAATCACCCAAATCAAGAATAATGGCTCCAGCATTAGAATTCTGGATAAGCCCCCCCAATTCCTTAAGCTTCATGGGTATTTGTGTTTTATTCAAAGCAAGCTCCTTTCCTACTGGAATCACCTGAACATTCTTAAGTGGTCCATCACCAAATTCTTCTCCCTTGTCAATTCTCCTCAGTAGATCCTTTAACACCGTCTCAGGCTCTAACTCGCCAACCAAAACTGGGTTTCTCCTCTCAGTCCTTAACAATATATCAACAATCCGCTTAACTTCATCGTTTCTTTGCTGCCGCCCCAATTGAGCAGCCGCATAATTCCCCCCCTCCTGCTGCAGTCGAGGATTCATATAAAAATTACGATGTGGATGTGGAATTGGAATTGGTATGGGCATGGGCGTCGGGGTTGGCCGAAACCCAATTCCAATTGTGGATGATGAGTGATTAACAGCGGCCGCCTGAGAATTCAATGATTGTTCAATGGTTGCCTTAACAGCTGGGCTCGAAAAGCTCGCTTCCCGCATAACCCTGCTAACACTTGGGTCATCAAGAATCGATATTATGAGCTGTTCCAGCTCCACTTTGACCGCTAGAAGAGGCTGTTGCTGCTGCTCGGGGCAACCTCGCCGCTGATGCGCCTGTGCCCGTTTCAGCGCTGCCATTAAAGCATTGGAAATCGGGGGTTCCATGGCGGAAGAGGTCGCGTTTTGGGTGGTGGGTAGTCGCTCGAGTGCCACGCTGAAGCAGAGCTCTAGAGCTCGGCACTGAAGAGGATGGGAAGAGTTGGAATGAGAACGAATACAAGCTTGTCGGAGGAAGCCCGAAGGCGACGCCAAGAGTGTCGCCGCCACGTGAAGCGGCGTTGTCTGGCCATGATTACGGCGACCCGCCTCGGCGATCGAGTGGTTCAATACACTCGTTGCCTCTGGCGTTAGGGTTTGCTGGATCGTACTTAGTCCCGCTCTCATCTTCTTATAGCAGCAATAAACAGGCTCAATCTCGAAAATCTTTTAAGGCTCGAAACTGTTTCGAGTCTCATAAAATCCCAGAATTGGAATCGAATTTTCGCTTGCTAATTTTTGTTGGAATTTCTTGAGTTTTACACTAATAGGAGAAAACTAAAGCAATCAACAAATGCCACCACTACTACTACTACTCTAGTCCTCAAGTTGGGGTTTTCAGATACGAATATTATTATTGCATCAACTTCTTAATCCGCAAGTCAAAATGATCAAAGTGTGAACGGATGCAAATAAAAAATATTCGAATTTTCTAGAGGAAAAAAAACAGAAGAAGAAGAGTTAAAAATCATTCAAATTGATCTCAGCTGACACAAACCGACCAATAAATCAAAACTAAAGACAAGTCACTTCACAAGGTGCAAAAGTGGAAAATCAAAAAAGCCTTGGTCTACACCTTTGCTTGGTTGCCTGTGGAGTGGAAGCCTTATAATTCAACGGGACAAGGAAAGCTAGATTCCCTCCACACAAAACCCCATCCCTTTTCTGTTTTTTTTTTCTCTCTCTCTCATACAGCAGGCAGCGAGATGATGATAGAAGTCAGTAGAACACATACATCTTTCTCTCATTAGATGACCAAAAATACCATGGTAACAAACAAAATCAACTTTTTCAAATATTACCAGACTGCACTGCATATAAAGCTGAGGTAAAATTGTTAGGTGGCAGAGTATGTATGGCAAGTGCTGTTTTATTATGTGTGTGTGTGTGTATATATATATATATAGAGAGAGAGAGAGAGAGAGAAATAATTTATGAAAAATAGTAGTAGTAAGCTGGAAGTACTTTCAGTTGCAAGGATTTCTGGAAAATGCTTTCGGGGTTGAGTAATCTCCGCTCTCCTTTTTGTGTCATCCTTTTGTTTTTATTATTAATTTTATAATATGTGATCGCTTAATGAAACCTTTCTAGAGAGATGAGAAGGAGATTCATGAGTAGATAGATAGATTGATTACTTTATTTTTTTAGCTCTCTCTCTCTCTCTCTCTAACTTTTTCTATCTATGACTAATGACAATGGGCCATGGTGTAGATTGTCGACCTTTATAGTAGTAGCTCTTATTTGTTAGTTTTGAATTAATTTTTAGACTCACATTCTCTTCCATCTATTGATTGCAAATACTAAATATCCCAAATTCACCTTTAGCGCGTGAAGACACCACTCCAAATGGAACTGCGCACAATATGGCTTGAGATTTGGAACACGCTCTTCAGGTTCGCGTGGTTGTAGACTCTCTTTAAATGGTTTGCCTTTCAACCAATTTTCGGCTTTTCACACGCAACTGCTGCAAAGGCATCGCACGGCTATCAACACCTTTTCATGCTTTCACTTTCTCTCTCTAACTTTTTGAATGAACAACTACTTTATGATCATCACCCCATCTTTTGTCTTAAACGCGGTTCTTTTAACCTAAATTCAAACCAAGCTTTCATCACATTTTTAAATTGCAGATCGTCCCAATAGTTTGGAAAAATTACATATTCCTTCCATGCCTATTATATCATTACGAATCGACTCTTTTTTTTTTTTTTTTTTAATTAATTAATTCATATCTTACTTAAACTCAAGCTTAAAATCAAAATTAAAAAGGACAAGAGTTAAACAGTTTTCAATAATTTAAAAAATAAAATTTACTTTTAAATAATTATAAAATATAGTTCTCTCCTATAAACTTTTTCATTTTAATTGAGTTTTTAAAAAATAGTTCTTGGGGCTGTCCAAATAGATTTTTAAACAATTTTTTTATTTTCAATTCTCAAAAAATAGAACCAAGCAAGTAATATAATTATACATAACAGAATCATGTTCACAATAATACCCATTTGCAAACTTATGATGTTGGTGTCAATTTGTCTTTATCTCCAGTAAGGCATTAAAAATTCGAAGTAATTGATTTGATGAGTTTTGTTGTTCTTGTTTTTTTTTTTTTTTATTCCCCTTCCTCCATAGCCCATGCTCATAAAAACATGAGATAAGAGCACCAAAGAGAGAATTTCTACCATGCTTTTCTCATTTATTCCGTTTTGAGGCTCTCTTTTTTCAATTTCTTGGTAAGAATGGTGACGATTGGTTGTATGATTCAGCTAGGGCTTTAAATCACATCATGTTATTGAAAATGAGTTACAAAATAGCACCAAAATATACGACCACATAATAATATACTATCATAAAAGTGAACTAAATAAAAACTTTGGAATCATAATAATTGAGACGTGTACCCTCCTATTATGTGGTGGTCCTGTGCATCACCGAAACTGTGTTCAATATGGATCGTGCCAGGAATAATTGACATTTTTATTCTTTTTACTTGTCAAGTAATGGGTGAATTTAAAAGTGAACTACCTATAAATATTTTAAAGTAAATTTCATGATTGTTGCATTCGATTGAAACTAGGTAAGATTTGATTATGTTATACTTATATTATGGGTTATGCATAAATACTCGTTGAAGAATCACTAATATATTGGACGTGCTTGGTTTGTTATTCAAAATTTTTAAAAACTCAATAAATAAAAGATTGGTCTCAAAGAATTACAGTATAAAAACAAGTTTTCTAGAAATAAGCCTTGTTATACAGTTTTCATAAAATTGAATCTAACAGATTTTTTAAACATCTTTCTGATTTTCAGTTTTGAAAACATAAACCTATTGTTATACTCGTTGGTGTTTTTTTTTTTTTTTTTTTCCTTAAAAATTGAAACAAGGTCACTTTAAACTATATGCAATTTTTTTATATACTTTTTTTGTATAGAAAAATTAAAACCTTCAAATGCTATTAGCTAGAAAAAATGCATTTGAAGGTTTTTTTTTTTCTTTTTTTCTCATAATAATTAAAACAAGGTATCTTTAAACTTTTTTTTTTTTTTTTCTTAATAATTAAAATAAGGTCACTTTAAACATTTTTTCTTTTATTGAAAAAAAAAAAACATTTAAATGTAGGGCATAAATGCATTTGAAGATTTTTTTTCATTTTTCTTAATAATTGAAACAAGGTTACTTTAAACTATATTCATATATAGTTTTTTTCTATAATTCCCAAGGAGTTGTTCTTAAGAATTAAAAGTTCATAAAAACTTTCACATAATCGCATTTATACTCCAAAGCATATTTAGAAAATTAATTTTTAAAAAATTAGATCAGTAAGCCATGCTTTGCTAATTATGAAGTATTAATTATATCATTTTTAAAAGTAAAGCAATAAGTTTCTTACATATAAAGGTGCCCAACGGTTGGGAGGGGCAATTTTGTCACAGAAAAAGGTTTTCCTGAGTGATGTGGCAGTGTTGCAGCATACAAAATTATTAAGGGGATTTTATGGCAACATTTTTTTGAAAGGGAGTTATTAAAACTATATGGGAGTTTTATGAAAAAGGTAAAAATGTTACTAGTTCAACACATAATTAGTAATTACCATCAATTAGAGATGGTAAAATTATGTTTTGGGATTCTTCGCTTTTTAGGGATTTATTTTCTTCACTGCTTTTTGTGAAGTCTTCAGAAACAAAAATCATCATCAAAGTTCCTTTTGGCAACGCACGCCCTCACTTGCCTTTTACGCGTTTTTCAATTTCTACAACCCAACTATTTACTCTTTATACCTTTTTTCATTTTTTTTTTTTTTTTTTTTTTGGATCTCTCACTCCTCCTCCCGTGTACGTCCATCCCAACCCTCCAAAAGCAAAACCATCCATCAAATTCAAGAAACCCTCCACGGCTTGATTTGATGCACAGGAGAAAGTGGGTTCCATTTTTTTGGGTGGGGTCATCACCTGCAAGTAGAGATTCTAACCTTTAGATATGCCAATTTCAAACGATTTTGACCGTTAATGGATGGAATGCTACTAGTGGTACGTACATGTTATTTATTCATCTACTTTATATGTAGTAGTAGTAATACTATATATATATATATATAAAGAGATAGGAGTCTGAAAAGGAGGAGTCGAGGGTGTACGTAATGGGATGGACTCTCTAACTTTCCGCATTTATTACCGACTTATGGTTGGCAGTGCACTTGCCGTCGTCCTCTTACACTTCTTTATTGTCTAAAGTTCGAATGACTATAATTCAGACAAAAAAATTGTTTGAATCACAATAGAGCCCCTCTACGGAACACTCTTTTCTTTTTATTTTTATTTTTGTTATGGTTGTCTGCTCGTTGGAATAAACAACATAAACGAATAGCACACATCCTTTGGAATTAAATTGAATTGTAAATTTATACAAAATGGGTAATTGTCACATTATCTACCCTTGTCCTGTTCTGCGCTCTATCTCCATTTGTCACGTCTCTCATCTTCCATCAAACTTCCTTCACTTTGTGATGATGTGCATACAATACAGTGTCTGGTAAACTAACATTACCACCTTGTAGTTCATATATATATATATATATATATATATATTAGGTCTGCATGAGTCAATAAAGAAGCTTCCAAAACTGCAATTAATCTCGATCGAATTTTGACAAATTTGGCTCTACATTATTGGTTTCCTTGTTGATGAATTGGCTTTTATGCTTGTACATTGACTTTTGTTTAAATTTTGATTAGAAAGTTTAGAATATCAATTCTATTACTCAATTTAATGTTAAAAAGTCAAAGAAGCTACTGTATAATTTGGTTTGACTGCAAGCATCTTTTGACAATCAACAATAAACGAGCATAGTTTGAATGATGAAGCCATCCATATACACACACACTTATTGAATACAAACTACGTAGTCGGTAGGTGCTAAAGCCAGCCACGCGTTAAGATATTTTGAAGAGCGAAGTGCAAATGTAGGAGTGATCGATCAAGTGAAATATTAAATTAATTAAGTAAATCAACATATACACAGCATGTGCAAGTTAAAATTGAAGAAATTAAGAATCGTTGTAACCTTATCTAGGACTAGGAGGGACTTACTGAATGATATAGGAGAGACTATAATCTCATACAACATGCAGGAACACAATATAATCTCATACATCATCTTCTTCCATATCCAAAAAAGTAAACTACTTTGCTTTTGTTATAAACATATATAGTCTTAACCACATCTTAAGCATGCTATGATATATACAATTATAATTCCTTCCACTTTGAAAAGGATCAGTTTGCCTCGTCACCCTCTCAACCACTCCTTCCCAATTAAAACACATTCCTAAATCTCTTTCCGTCATTCTACTTGTTTCCATTGGTTTGGATTGAAACACACACACACACACACTCTCTCCCTCTCTCTCTCTCTCTCAAGAATCAAGATTCATTTCACCTTAATTAGCATCACCATCAACACAGTATGTTGCTTGTTAGTTGGTTCCTTCATAAGGGAAAAGATTTCCCCACCATACCATAATATTCCATAGTACCCCACCCCCACCAATAATAGAGGATTAACCATGATTCAAAACACCTCTTTTTGTTTTGTTTTTATTTTTCTTCGAGTTTAGTTTGATACATCAATCAATCAATGACCTAAGTTGTAAGGCTTTCATATTCCGCTTGTCATTGATTATTAAAGTGTCATTTTATTTGACCTGCTACACCCGTTCCCACAAGTTCAAATTGTGATTGGAAGATGGATGGTCTATAAAAGTTTCTCTCAATTACCCTAATTAGTTGAAGCAATATTATGAACCAAAGGGCCCATGTATAACAACTTCTTTTCACTTGAACAAGCAAAACCCCACCTCGCTTTTGCACACACATTACACATACTAATATATATATATATATATATATATATCATGTCATAAAGATCAAACTTTAAGCAAGCACAAAACAACAAATCACTCACAGCTGGGAAGAATTGAGAGCCACCCCCTCCCTCCAAAAGGTGTTGGTAGCTTCTTGCACTCAAAGCAATTAAGTATACTTTCAAACCCCTTCCTTTTCCCATCTTTTTATACTAGTAGTTTATTTGTAAGTGGATTTGCTT